ATGAAACGACGTATTTGATTAATAAAAAAAAAAAAAAAAAATTAAGATAGGGATGTTTTGTGTTAAAAGGCCACATTTTTACAAAATTTCCAAGAATTTCAGTAGACACACTAGTATGTGACCTGTTGCTTACGCTGCAGATTCCATAATTTCATGTTAACGTGAAATTTATCAATAAGCCATTTCTATTGAAATTCAATTAACTTAAAATTATTTATACTGTATCGATATCGATAATGCAAACATGATGTTCCTTTTATTAATAAATATGTAGCTTTATTAGAATTAAAAGAAAAAAATTTAAGTATCTAACAGAAATAAAAAAAATCCAACCGTTCTACATACACACAGATTAATACAACTAGGCTACATTCAAGTACCACAATTTTTTGATCCATAAAAAAACCACAATTACAACCAATAAAATTGAATAAATAAATAAATAAATAAATAATATGACTTAAAATTTTACAAATTATTAAGAAAAAATAATAAATTAATTAATCGAAATTCTCTTGAATTTACTACCAATACTAGCAAGACGTTTAGTAAAGAGTAAACTCTTCTTGGTATTTCTTTTTACTGATGATTTTTTCTGATTTTTATGATGAATTTTATAGCCTCCACCAGTTATCGTTACATAATCATCATCTTCGGGAGACGAAAGTGTGAGACGCTTAGTATGTGGGCTATCATATTTATCATTTTGATAACCTGGTGCACATAATGCTGCAACAGCATCTGGTAATTTGTTTTGCTGCATTTTGTCTTGTTGTTCGATCAATTGAAATACCATCCCCAGTTCAACGTGCCACTGATAATTAAAAAAAAAAAAAGTAGACTTGGTTAATAATGTCTAACTCTGAATGTATTATATGATTGTATATATTACTGTAAATATTACCTCTATATGACAATGGAAAGCCCAAACACCAGGATTATTGATAATATACCGGATTACAGCCCATCTATTTTATTTTTTTTATTAAAAAGATTAATTTCAGACTAATTTCATGCTGATTTCAGACTTGTATAGAATAAAAAAGACAAAAATACATGTAGACAAGTAATTACCCATTAGCAGGGACAGTAAGTGTGTCACGAAGAGGTGGATCGATCAAGTTATATTTACTAAGAGTAGGCATTTTCTCAGCACTACTTATTCCTATAACAAAGAAATTATGTCCATGCTAATTATAATAAAATCATTATAATAAAAACAAACAGAAATAAAAATTCCTTTAATATAATTATTTTAAAAATCGTATAATAATTTAGAAATGTAAAAGCATACCAAGTGGAATGGATGGTCGGCACCATTTCTATCTAATAATTGAAAAAGTATAAATTAGCAAATGAATTAGCATATATATATAATAATTATGTTGTCGTTATGATAGTTACTGAATATAATAATTTCCACAGCACCACCCTCAGTATCATACATATATGCATTAGCATTAATAGGAAATTGCGTTGCACTAATACTTTCGCTCATAATTTTCATAATTGAAGGATTTGTTATATCAGGAACCCAAGATTGATTATTAATATAAGCCTTGGTGGTTTGATGCTCGTCAGCATGAATCGTTACAGAAATATTAATTTGATTTGTAATTTTTTTAGGCGGTTCTACTTCTGCGTATGGTTTTAGTAAGTCAACATCAAGATCACGGCATGGAAATAGATTTTTAGACCATTCATCATGGACCTTTTTGGAATCTGGAAGTGCATCACTAGGTGCTCCTTCATATTGTAAGATTCCTGTTATAGTCATTTTATCGTAAAGAGCCGAGTCGTGATTTATTGTATCTGGTGAATTCATTATACAATCATCTGGTATTTCCGCACGTATCCAATAATTGCCAACTTCTTGAGATGCCTCAATGATAACAGAGTAGCGTTGTCCAATATGAATCGGTAAAACGCTAATATTTGATGCTTTTGTACTAACTCCATCGACTTCAATGACTTGTAACATATGTTGATCGATAGAAAACCAGTAAAAGGCTTCGGCACTATTTTAAATACAATTTGTTAATATAAATTTTTCATATAAATTTAATTGATTGATTGTTATTATCTTATAATAATTATACATTCAATACAAAAATATGCAGAATTTAATTTACCTCATGTTAATTATACGAAATCGATATCTTTTACCTTTCTTCACAGTATAAATCGCTGGCATATTATTAGGATCACACGTCGATCCTTCCAACGCCTTAGAACAATTATATTGGCCTCTTCCACTGATAAGACCTGCATCTGGTACAGGCTATATGGAATATTGCGTGATAATAACCGTAAATATTCAATATAATTAATATAATTAATATAATTAATATGATAGAATGATATTAAAAAATAGATTAATACTAACATTGTATCCTTCATAACCTGGTGCCAATCGCATTGCAACCAAGTCACTTGTTGGTGAATGATACCAATCCTCCACAGTAAGGACATATTCATAATCATAGGAAGATAGATAAGGATCATCCGGATCATTAATAATAAAGGGACCACGTATACCATCAACATATTGAGCGAGATAATGCGAGTGCCTTTGAAATTATCAAAATAATATTCGTTATAATAATAATTTATAAATGATAAATTTTGGAATGTATTTTATAGATTTAAGCGTTTTATAATTTGTAACTTACCACCAATATGTTCCGACTTGATCACCAACTGTGAAGTCATAAACAAACGAAACTCCGGGTAAAATAGGGCATTGTGTCATACTACGAAATATTTAATCATAAATAATTAGCGTGTTTCACGATTATGTACACGATTATGTACACGATTATGTACACGATTATGTAAAGAAACAAAAAACTTACCCTCCAACTCCGTCATACCAATTAGTCCCCGTTTGCAATATTCCATGCCAATGGATTGTAGTCGGGTCTTTATGATGAAACATATAGTAATTACAATTATTTTTCTTGAACATTATGAAAATAAATTATTTTTGATTTTTTTTTTTTACCTTCTAAATTATTTGTAACATTTATCAAAACTCTGTCTCCTTTGTTGATATAAATTAGTGGACCAGGATATTGACCTTTATAATGATTAAATTTCAAATTTTTAAATAGAAATATAATGCAAATTAAATAAGTTGAAAACTTTAAAAATTATCTAACCATTTACTGCCCAAACTTTTCGCTTATAGCCATCAGGAGCCAAATCTGCGTATGATAAAACCAAATTAATATTATGTGTAGTTGGCTCCTTGCTTGTGATTGTTGCTAACGGTTGAAAGAGTTCCGTGTTAAAGTTTGGAGGAGTATAATTACGTCTTCGTATTGTTGCCGCGTCAGACATTACAAAGATAGTAAATAGCAAGATATATAAAACTAACATTCTCAATAAACGTGTCTTCATTATTAAGTATTATGAATTATTAAGTTACGAATGAAATATATCTATCTATATTTATATATTTATATCTCTTTCTTTTTTTAATTAATTAAAAATTATTATTACTTTTTTTAACATATATATAGAACGTAAAACGTAAAACAAAATGTAAAATGTAGAATAGCTTGGTATTAAGACTCTTACAAGACAAAAATTCTACCCTTTTATACAAATTTCTCACTTTCCAGCAAGCAATTATCGAGAAGTCAACAACGATATATGTTCAATTACCATCCCAACAACTTTACTCAGCCTCCTACAAATGTTAATAAACGTCTCCTCTCTTCCATTATTTTACAATATATTTTAAACTTGAAAACTGAAAGGTTTGTGCGCATTTGTTGTGTGACAGAATTCGCCACGAAAACCAGAAAGTTTGATTTATATTAAATTTTCAGAAAGTTTTATTTATATTAAATTTATTCTTATTGACATTGAATTCACAAAAAAAGTTAATAAATAACCATAATAAAAAACGTGAATCAACATTTTTAACCTATTGTTTATATTATATCTTTCACTAAATCTTTATAAGGCAACAATAATTTTATAACTTATGTATACAAGTTTCTCATCAAGTTTTTATCGTAGATCATCGGGATTTTTTTTTTCAATTCACAAATCGATTTTTTTTTTCGTGCCGTATACTATATACAATGCATTTAATATATCGGAAATTCGCAAAGTTTAATAACTACCAATAGCAAAAATTTCCAAGAAGATCACAAAGCCTTTGGTTAAAAACTTACGATTTTTTAAAGATTGCTTAGCTAGTGGCGATGTATTCCGAACCGATCAACATGAACTTTAAAATTTGGATAAAAAAAAACTTTACGATTTTCACTCTCTCTGTGTAAAGTTAAGTTGAGAAATTTGCAATTTGTTGCTTAAAAGACGATCAAAATCTACGGTCCGCGTGGCGTAACGGGTGCGTATGGAAATTTCGGGAGATCATAAATCTGCCGATCGATCGATCGCCGAGATCAATTAGGTTAAATATCAAGTTTAAAAAATCACAAATTGTTTTTCATTTAAAATCGGCAAATTATTTTTTAAAGTTTTTTTTTTAAAGTTTTTAAATTGGAGAAAATATTAACAACGGAACTACAGAAGAATTGTGTCACGCGGCAATTAGCGGCAATTACCACGCTGTCACGTCAATGTAGCCAGTGAGCCATATAGATCGACCCTAAGCATATTTTCATTCCTTCATCTCTCTTTAAATACTGAGGCTGAATCATGTCTCTAAAAATATATCTTTATAGTTTTATTAGAGCAATAAATATAAATTTATTGCACCAAAGTTTGAAGTTGCTATGTACATCAACACCTTTCTTCAGCATTTAACTAAGCCCAAGATAACAAATTTAGTAAAGAGCGTAAAAGAGATAAAACGAAATATTTTATACCTAAAGAATATATCAATTGCAAAGCCTCACAAAAAATTTGTTTGCGCAAATTTCGCGAGTCTCACAAAAAAAATTTATTGGCGTAAATTTCACGAATCTCAAAAGATTTGCTTGCGCAAATTTCGCGAATCGATTTGCTTGCGCAAATTTCTCGAGCCTCACAAAAAGATTTTTATACGCAAATTTTGCAAGTTGTCAATAACTTTAATTAGAATCAAATCCGGAAATTGTCAGAGTGAGGTATACGCTTTTTTTTTTCAGTTCACTTGAAATTACACGCAAGATTTTATTTTAAAAACTTCATTTAATCTAATTTTGCAAATAAAATTAGTGGCGTGTTCGTTTCGAAATGAACGATCCGTAAATCCTATTTTTTTTGCATAATAATAATATATCATAAAAAAATATATATATATATTTCTATTTCATTTTCTGGTTTCGAAATTTCAAACAGAAATAAAAGTTTTTAAACACCCACTTATTTTCGAAATAAATTTACTTTATCTCAATAAGTATCGCGAAAAGAGATTTTTGATCTTGGTACAGTTATAGTTGTCGGTGAAATTTTGGTAAATGATGGTAAAAATTAGTAAAACTAAATAGAACAGTCAATGAAAGATTCAAGTTGAAATTTTATGAAACTTAAAATTAATTTCACCCGCAACACTAGAAACAACATTCTACCTTATTACAGTATCAATCTTTGCTTTCTTCATAGTTAATGAGAGATGAAGGAATGAAAATATGCTTAGGG